GTCTGCTAAATAAATAAAAATAAATTATAATACTTGTGAAGTTGTACAAGATTGTTTGCACATGAGAAACTGCCAGCATTTGGTACATGCTTTTTAAAGTACTTGCTTAGTTTTGGACTATCTATTTTTTCTAATAGTATGTTGGCAGCAGTGACAGGCATCCACTAGCTCCATTGTAGCTTCTCCTTTTGCGAAACAAGTTTCAGTTGTTCTTTTAAACATCGTGGACACTGTTGCTTGTTTTTTGTTCTGACCTGTAGCCTTTGCACATGCTTTTCGTTTAATATGCAATGCAGCCTCAAAATGGGGATCGATCGTGTTTTTTCCTGAACAAATCCAGAGTCACGTTGCAAGATGAACAAAACAATTTACCACTGTCTGCAAGATTCTCCACACAATCCAAAGCTGGTTTTTTTTTTTTTTTTTTTTTGCTTCGTCAGCCATCCTTTCACTCAACCTGATGACTGTCGCTCTCACTTATCATAAATGTTGACACACTCTCAATCAATGATCTACTGTAATGACTGTTGTGCTCACTTTAGTATAGGTCATGTAACTTGACAGACACTCTCAAACAACTATCCACTATGACGATTGGAGTGATAGCACATGATATCACATGATATCACAGCTGTTTTTGCATTGTGGTAATCACAGAAGTTTTGCAGCATATTTTATAAATAAAACATATTTTTATTTTGAAGGTTAATTTCGCAAACAATCCCATATTTCATGATTTCCATGAAATTGCAAATCAAGAAGGCCCCTAATCATTGTATATTTGGATGTAAGCCTTTTTAAAGACGTTTATAAACTCAGGTTTTAACTCCTGTGCATCAGCAGCTCATGTATACAAACAAGAAAAGGGGTTGCATTATCCTTAGTCCTGTGCAGTCTGAAAAAGAAAAGTGGAGAGTGAGAAATCTCCTGAGCCATGCACACTCTCAGGCTTTGTGGTCCTGCCACACACAGACTACGAGGAAGTGGTCGGGATGTTACCTTGAGGCTTGGGAACATGGGTTCAATTCCCTGCTCTTGGCACAGATTTCCTGCGTGACTTGATAACTCAGCTTAATCTCTCTGTGACTCATTTCCTCACTGGTAAAATGGGAATAGCGTCACTTCTCTAGCTCCCAGGGATTTTGTCAGGCTAACTATGTTAAAGACAGTGAGGGGCTCAGATAGTATAGTAATGGGGGTCATATAAATATTTATGCTAGATAGACTCGAGTGCATCTGTCTGTGTTTGCAAACCCATGGGGTGAGGAGGAAAGGAGTAAGTATGGGGCACCTTGGTCCTATTCCTCCCTGACACTGACCAGCAGAGACAGGAGCACTCACTGCAGCTTGTGAACATAGGCATTTATGGGTTGCCCAAGCTGTAGATCAAGAGCAGGGCATGCTTTTCTGTCAGTTTAAAGCAGATTTAATATTTAAAAAAATATATAGCTAAGTATTTTAAATAAATCTCCTATTATACATGCTTTAGGAGCTGCCCTAATCCCGTACAGTGGTTCCATAGTATCAAAGCCGAGAGGCTTTCAAAAATATTTCCCAGTTAGGCCCCAATCCTGCAACGACTTGCAGTCCTAGAATTTAAGGTCCGAAGAGACCACCAGATCATCGAGTCTGACCTCCTGTATATCACAGGCCACCCACACACTACACCCATTAATTTTAAATAACATGAGTAGTTCCATTGAAATTAATGGGACTACTTACATTACTTACAGTTACGCACACGCGTAAATCTTTGCAGGATCAGGGCCTTAGACATCCTTTGACACTGATCCTCCAGAGCCATTAAGAGGTTCACAGTAACTAACTATTAACAGTATCAAAACAAATCTGTATATTCAAACTACTCTAAAAAAACCCAACAGTATAACCTTATTTTCATCTGCTCAGTTTTTAAACACTGGGAGGGTCTAATCCTCATTCTGACTAGCCTGCAAATTTGGTTTAAACAAACCAGCCCATTTTGGTATCATGAATGCAAAAAATACTGAAAAAAAAAATCAGAATTATTTAAAAAATGCTCTCTTAGATTACAAAACATGTTCTTCAAAATGTGTTAATAAATAAAGGCATACTTTCTAGGCTGAATCACTCTATGAAGATTTTTAATGTTAATTTTATAGCTAAATTATAAACCCTTGAGAATACGATGTCTTTAATGGAAATATTGATACATCCTTAACTATAGCAGTACTATCCAGCAACACTCTAATACTGCACACTAATAGAGATTTACACTAGAAAAGGAGAAAATCCTTTACACATTTCAAATGTAAATGATACATAATTTTGAGAACAAAATATTTCCTATTATATTAGAGCCTGACATATGAAGCACTGAATTCTACTGCAAGCATTGTCATTGCTTTCAGTCTTTCAATCCTCTCATTTATGCTGAAAATTTGCAAATCCTTTATTCATGGAGCATAGAAAACGTGTACATATTTTTGAAGAGGTTCCTTATAAATGAGGAAGCTCTGGTTTTATTTGCATCAGACTGTGATGGAATCATGTTCTGTGTCAATTCTCAGACCACCGTTTTATTTTAAACAAACAATATATTTGGTAACAAACAAAACCAACACACAATAAGCTTGAAGAAAATATGTTGCTCACACAGTGTCACGTTTTCAATTCAAATGAAATTATTATTATTTGTACCATGACAGGGTCCAAAGGCCCAAGTATGGATCAGGGCCCCATTGTGTGAGGTACTATTAAAACAGGCAAGAAGACAAGAGTCCTGCCCCAAAAAACATGCAAGCAAGTTTGTTTTATATATACCCATACTGTGACAAAGTTCCTCCTCTACCTTGGTGGGTCCTGCGCTTATTGGCGGATTTGCTTGCTTCACAGATTCACCCTGTGGGTCAGGAAACAGTTCAGAGACCTTCCCCTCTGGTAGAAGCTACAGTCCAGGTCAATTCCTCCTGTGTTTGATCAGGAGTTGGGAGGTTTGGGGGGAACCCGGGCCCCCCCTCTACTTCGGGTTCCAGCCCAGGGCCCTGTGTACTGCAGCTGTCTAGAGTGCCTCCTGGTACAGTTGCACGACAGCTACAACTCCCTGGGCTACTTCCCCTCCTCCCAACACCTTCTTTGTCCTCACCACCGGACCTTCCTCCTGATGTCTGATAATGCTGGTACTTCTCAGTCGTCCAGCAGTATGCCTACTCACTCTCAGCTTCTTGCACACCTCTTGCTCCCAGTTGCTCACACACACTTCCTCTCCTCTGGCTCCCCCGGCTTGACTGGAGTGAGCCCTTTTATAGCATCAGAGGGGCCTTAATTAGAGTCAGGTGCTTAACTGCCTCATCTGACTCTTAGCAGGTTAATTGGAGTCAGGTGTTCTATAAGCCTGGAGCAGCCCCTGCTCTGGTCACTCAGGGAACAGAAAACTGCTTATCTAGTGGCCACTATATCTCCCTTCTACTACTCTGCTGTTCCCAACTGGTCTGGATCTATCACAATACATTCATCCCAGAGTGGGGCTACTACTCTGGGAGTACAACAGTGCGATTGCTGCCTGTCTGATACATAGTTACCAACAGTCCCAAAACATGAATTGAGACAGTAGTTACCTGGGAAAGCCTAGGTTTGCCCCAGCCAGTGGATGTGATCTTTCTGTGGGCTAAATCATGGCATTACCTCAAACCCCAAGCAAGGGGTGGCACATGTTGTCTCGCACACTGGGGGGTAGGAGAGGGAAGGAGACACAACATCATAGAAATGTAGGAGTGGAAGGGACCTTGATAGGTCATCTAGTCCAGTCTCCTTCACTGAGGCAGGACTAAGGATCATCTACCATTCCTGACAGGTGTTTGTCTAACCTGTTCTTAAAAACCTCCAATGAGGGAGATTCCACAACCTCCCTAGGTAATTTGTTCCAGTGCTTTACTACCCTGACAGCGAGGAACATGGCCACATTGGGTCAGACCAAAGGTCCATCTATCCCAGTATGCCAGGTGCCCCAGAGGGAATGAACAGAACAGGCAATCACTAAGTGATCCATCCCCTGCTGCCCACTCCCAGGCTCTGGCAAACTGAAGCTAGGGACACCATCCCTGCCCATCTTGCTAATAGCCATTGATGGACCTATCCTCCATTCATTTTTCTAATTCTTTTTTGAACCCTGTTATAATCCTGGCCTTCACAACATCCTCTGGCAAAGAATTCCACAGGATGACCGTGCGTTGTTTGAAGAAATACTTCCTTTTGTTTGTTTTAAACCTGCTGTCCATTAATTTCATTTGGTGACCCCTAGTTCTTGTGTTATGAGAAGGAGTAAATAACACTTCTTTATTTACTTTCTCTACACCAGTCATGATTTTATAGACCTTAATCATATCCCCCCTTAGTCGTCTCTTTTCCACACTAAAAAGTCCCAGTCTCATTAATCTTTCCTGTATTAATATGTCTAGTAAGGAATCTATTTGCCAAAACCATCTCCAGAATCTTTTTTGCTGTCTGTATTGTTACAGACATATTTGTTGACAGGTATTTTGAAATAAATTACCAAAATAATTGAAACTGGCGTGATTATATTGTGTTATTTTCACAAATAAAATATGCAGAATTTTAAAATAGTGTAGCAACATTTCTAATTTTTTGGTGCAGAATTCCTCCCGAGTAAAATATGGTCCAAAGAGTCACATGAGTATTTCTGTTATAGAAATGTACATACCACACCCAAATGACAAAGATGAAGTCAAATTTTAATCTTTCCATTTGATTCCACACAACATTATTTGGGTTAAATGGTGTCAAATAGTATTTGAGTTGAAGCTGGGGCTTCATTTGAACACTGGTAATGTAAAGAAAGTTGAGAACTGATAAATGCAGGAGTGGGTGATTCTATGTTGCTATGTAATGACAAAGAAGCAAAAAGCATTGTAAATTAGCTATGGTAACGTCACAGCATGAGATAGACCATATGGATGGAAAGTCAAAGAATGCAGAGTAAATTTAAAAAAAGAAAAACTTACTTATTCCATGCTTGTCTAAGGTTTTTAGAGCTGTACTGTGTAAAGCGTTCTGTAACAAAAAGAAAGACATTCAATTATCTTGTTTAATTTATTTAAAAACATGTAAAAGCATTTTAACTAATGATGGTTATCATTTCTCCCATATGGCAAATCTGGGAAAAAGAACAAAGTGAGAAGAAGGGGAAAATAACTTTAAATAATGGACACATTATGGGACTGATTCTCATCTACACAAAAGCCACTTTACATACACTTTAAAGCCATGTTATATTGCCAGAGTGGTTATCAGTGTAAATAAAAATCAGGCCCTATTTTTCCTTTATCATAAATAACATTCTCTGTAACCTTGCTGTCATGACTCCACATTTCCCATGTAAAAAATTTGTAATAATAAGTGAAATGAGCCCAGATTCATGTTAAAGTTGGGGGCAGCTGAGAGCTATGCTGGTCATATGAAAGTCCGCATGCTAAAAGATCCATAAACTTAACCAAAACTCTGCAAATATAGTGATGGCACATTTCTTTACCCACACACACAAACTAAGTTTTAGCTGTAAATATTGCCCCGGCTAGTGCAGGGATAAGGAGCAGACCTATTGTCCTATGGTTCCTCTGCAGAAGGACATCTTCTGGCTAGGGCAGGATTTTAGGAAGAACATTGGGGCTAGGCATTGTGTTGCTCTTCTGAACAGGAGCAAAGTGTGTCCCAGTTAACAACAGACATGCTTGATAAATACCTTCAAATCACAAACTACACCACACTGTAAACATGGGATGCTGTAACAGGCCAACTCTCCTACTGCTGTGTCATGTTAAGTAGTTTGGATAGATCTGCCCAACATTATGCGCTCAATGAGATGCTACCTAGATTTCCGCTAAAACTTTAAAGACCCTTTAAAAGGGGACTTTATTTTCTATAAGTGCTGCACATAGTACAGGGCCATGAAGTTACAGCAATTTTTTTGTACTAATCGATCACACCATCAGAAACAACAAAATGAAAGCAACCTTTGGTTTTCAGGAGCAACTTAAAATTAGTTGAATTGTTCTTTATTTGTATAAGTAACCTTGCCCCATAACTACTGGCAACTCTGAAAACAATGTACACGGTGACAGACAACACAATAGGAAAATCCAACTGTCAATGACAATATTTTTCTTTAAAGTTGCAACAAAATACATGACCAGAATGAGCGGCATGTAATCAATAAAAACAGCTGGGTGGAATTAAAATGCAGCTCACCTCAGCAAAGTAACTTGGTAAAAATGGAACCATAGGATTTCAGACTTTTTTCCAGCATAGTTAGAGCAGTGAAACACTCCTAGTTTAGATACATTTATACCAGTATAAAGGTGCCTTATATTGAAATAGCTTATTCTAGTTTAGGAACCAAAATAAGCTATACCAGGATAATGTATCTTAATACCAGCATAACTGTGTCTACACCAACGATTTTACTGGCATAGCTACCTTGACAAAAAATATCGCATCCCTAACAAACATAGTTATGTCAGTAGAGCTTTTTAAGGCCATGTTATAGACCAACCCAAGGATTAGAAAGTCAAGATGGCTTCTTCTAGTTTGTGCATCACCAACAATAAAGATTTTGCAAGTGAATCATAGTTAATAATTCTGTAGCTGAAACATGAGCTAGAACAGTACTACTTGACTGTACTACTGCAGTAGTACAGGAGTAAAATCTAGGAAAAATGTATTTTAGTCAGCAAAGAAAGGAGACTTCTAAATATTCAAGAAGCAGATCTGTTGAGCAAGGCACCCTTTTTACATTTTCTCCCCAAATTTAAGAACTCTTAAGCTGGATCCATAAGAACCATTCATCTCTCTGTATTTATGTTATTTTGATTTATTATTTTAATATTTTTATTTGAAAATTGGAAAAAAATCAACTCTCAGATGCACAAGATAAAAAGTGATAGGATTTGAATACTCTAGTAATAAAAAAGTTTGTTCCTCAACAAATGTACCTCACAAAATAGAATTTGTTGACTGGCAAACTATTATGAAAGTCATAAAAGAGTGAAAACTTTTGTGTGATGATTCCCTGATAAAAATACCATAAAATTACTGATGATATACATGAGTGGTAGTAATATGAAACAATACAATGCTGAATGTTTTTATGCTCCTCTATTCTAATAAAAAGCTTAGTAAACTACCAAGAACTTCAGTAATTACAGAACCTTCCCATTCCAATTATGGTTGAATTGAAGAAAATTCATAGCACGTTATCTAAGGCACTCACTAGCTTGTAGCGTAACAGAGAGAGCAATTAATTTAAACCTGCAGGGTGATTTTTCACCTATTTCTATCCTGTTCTGGTACTGCAGTGGAGGCACACCAGCAGGGGTTAAGGAAGGAAAGAAGAATAGTAGAGAAGTGAGAAATAAGTGACTACATAATTGCACAAAGTTTCCACTTCAGTTCTCTGTGCATATACTGTAATTAAATAAATAAATTAATACTCTTCTGAGGCATACAGAATAACACCACAGAAAATTCTGAATTCTCCTTTTATATACATCTTCATTACATACTGTACAGTATGTACTAAAACTAATGTAACTGTAACATTACAAAGAGATAAAAAGAATGCTAGACCTCTCAATGAAGCACACTATGCAAGTACACCTCTATCCCCGATATAACGCGACCCGATACAACACCAATTCGGATATAATGTGGTAAAGCAGCACTCCGGGGGGGGGGGGTGGAGCTTCGCACTCCGGCGGATCAAAGCAAGTTCAATATAACACGGTTTCACCTATAACGCGGTAAGATTTTTTGGCTCCCGAGGACAGCGTTATATCGGGGTAGAGGTGTACTCAGAACCATTATTACATGCCAGATAATGGAGCGGTGAAGACAGTAGTGGGAGACAGTGTCCGTAATCTGATATAAAAAAAGGCATAACAGGTGTAAAAACCCAGGACTTAATTATGTGTTATGTATTAAGTGAACAGATATAATCTCAGCAATGGGAATGTGATGACAAATTAATAGAGAAAGTAGCATTATAATTTGTCTTAAACCAAGCCCATCACTTAATGGCTCATCCACTGTTGTCTTGGGATGAGATCTTGGCTCTACTGAAGTCAATGGTAATTTTCCCATTTAGCTCGATGGAGACACCAGTGGACCACCCAAACTGGGCAACATGTAGCCTTCTAGTGAGTGTGGAAAAAGGGAGAGGGTGACAAAACAGGAAAGCACTCAAAGAAATAGAAAAATATAAGCTGGGTGGAGGGGGGGCAGTGTAGGAAGGGAGGGAAGGAGACAGAGAAAGGGTCAGGCAAAAATGAGAGAAAAATGGAGATGTAGCAACAATATGCTCCAGCATGGCACCTGGGAGGCTGACGAGACACCCATCCATCATGTGAGGGGGGTTCCAACACAAGAGGTTGTGAATAGAGCTGGTCAGAACATTGTAATAAAATTACACCAAAATATGCTGTTTTATAAAAGCTGGAAAGTTTAGCAGAGATGTATTTGTTTCAATGACACTTCCATCACAAAGAGAGGGAGACACTGGTCTGGGATGTGGGAGATCCAGGTAAAAGTCCCTGCTCTGAATCAGAGTGATCTGGGATGAAGAACTTTGCTCTGAATGAAGAATGAAAAAAAAAAAAAGGCAAAACCTTGAAAATTGCTGTGAAATGGAATTGTTGCCCTTTGGTCAGTTCTAGTCGTGAACAACTGCAATGACTGTTCCCATGTTGGTGGATCCAAACTGTGTGACCCAAGCACTTGGGGATGTGTGCTACATCAAAACAGTGGATTTGGGATAGTTTGGCTTGTAAACACAAATCAAGTGTAAATAAGTTATATTAAATAATACTGAAGCTTGTGCAAAGCTGTGCACATTTTTGGACATCCCTCCTCCCCCCAAATCTTTTTTGAGCTCTTGCACAGGTTTGTGCAAACTGAACCATGGTAATGAGTGCAGTTTGAATGACTAGATAGATTAGATTAGACCGACCAGTAGCACAGTGCAGGCTTCCCTGGTACAGAATACTGATGCATATTTTATTGATCCTGCCCTTAAGGGATACTGGTGCATCTTTGTGCACTAGGATTCAATACTTGGTTTTACTTACTTAGTGTGAGCATACAACTGATACTGGGTAATAAAACAATGTTAAAAAAAATCTTCATGCTCTGTAACCAAAAGAATTCAAGTCAATAACAGAACCCATCATCAGAACTCCACATTGGCAACATTGTACTATGTGTCCAGTAATCCCACTCCATACTACAAAAAAAAATTGTAGGAATCATTAAACATTTCAGCAAAATTGCACATCATAAAGTCAACAAAAGTGCTAACCTTAAACTAAAGAGGAAACATATTGACACTTAACCACCCTCTTACAATTAATTCTGCATCTTTAGATGACCAAAAAAATGTAAGATGGGATTTTCAAAAAGGCCTATTGAAGCTAGGTGCACAAATCCAAATGATGATTAGGCACCTAACTCCCTTAAGCTGCTTTGAAAATTCTGGCCTTAATGTCCAGAAGACCTATTTTGGTTGCACTACAAAACTATAAACCATTGTTATACCAAATGAAATGTGACAAAGAAATTGATAAATCTTGCCCTGATGTTGTTAGGAAGGAGAAGTAAAACCAAAATGACTATATTACTGAAATTCATGCTTCCTTTATATACAGCCTCCTGCTCTGTTCTAAACCTCTCCTTAAAGAAATCCTGTCTGCACCACATTTATCTGGCAAAACAATCCCTGTAGGAAGAAGGGAGAAATACTAACCCTCATCTTTGAAAAAGAAGGATTTTCAAACTCTATTACTATGCAGCATGATTATGTTTCTGCTTCTCCTAATTGATATTCAAAATCCCCCAGAGTGGATCAGCCTATTAACACTCTCCCTTCCAGTCCAAGAAGCCTTACATATTACTTTATAAAATCTCTAGGTAAACAAGGAAAGAGATTAAACACGGAAAGATATTTGTAAACTCTTAGATATGCCTACTCTAACCAGAGCCTCATACTAATGCTCACCTCAGCC